CCAGGAATGACTTAAATCCTGGTGGGAAAAGATTCCATTGCTGTTCTCTGGCTCATCCAGGAGAAAATTGGGTTTTCTGGGATGTAAATCCCAAGTTTTTAGCTGCTTTATGGTTATTATCCAAGATTTAGGATGATCCTTAAGGGATCTAAACTCCCAAACCTGAGGATTCCCAACCACACACAAAACCCAACTCCTTTCCCAGGGAAAAAAACTCCCAAAAAAAGTGTCTACAAAGGATTTTCTATCCCTACATTTCTCTCCTGAGTTTTGCCACTTCCTTATGATCCCAAATTTTGTGATTCCCATCCCCCCCAAAAAAAGCTCTTTAACAGGAATCCCAAGCCAAAGGAAGGAATTCCTCATCCTTGGCAATCCAGAGAAGTTTGGAAGTTCAGGATATTTTCCTCAGGGAATTTCAAGGCAATTTCCTTGGCTCCACATCCTTATCCTTATCCAGCTTCCCAAAGGAATTCTTGGAGGGAATTCCTGAGGGAATTCTTGGAGCCTGTTTGGGATAGAAGCTCTTTAATCCACGTTTTCCTGGGAAAATCCCAACTAAAAGCCTTTGGCAGGGAATGATTATCCCTCCTGGAATTCCAAACAGGATATGGACTTCAAGGAGCTAAGTCAGGAAAATATTCCTTGTTTTGGCTGGAATAAGGATTCCCTGATGTTCATCCCAAATATCTCTCAGCTGGTGGGAGGAAGGGATAGGAAATATCCCCTTGGAGGAAGGGAGAATTCCTTAATTTTCCATGTTATTGGATCTAGGTGGAAACTGAGGATACTGAGAGGGAATTCCAAGGCCAAATCTCCATAGGGAAAGGATCAATCCCTTTGGATCCTGCAGGAAGTTAGTGCAGACAGAAGGAATCAAACCATGTGGGCTGTATTCCATGGATTTTTCCATCCCTATGGAATCACTTCCCATAGCATTTCATCTGGCATTCCCAAGTGTTTTCCTGCCTTTCTAAACAAAACCCACTTCCAGGCTGGATTATCCCTAGCTGAATTCCAAGCCAAGCTGAATTCCCTGGATAAAACCAATGGAAAAATCCCAACTTTTCCCACAAAACCCAGGAAGGAAACCAAGGAGAGAGGAGGTGGCAGCTCAGTGTATCCCAACAAAGAGCCACGGGAAAGCTCCTCCCTTAGGATACACCAATCCTTTTGGGAAAAATCCCGTGGGGAAAAAGGGGAAAAAAAAAAAAAAAAA